ATTATATATATATATGTGCTGACATGGCATGGTCTGAACCGTTCGACCTAGCTAGTTGAACGGGTGACTTGCAACCCAGAGGCAAAAATGGTTCGAACTTTGGGTCGGTTTTAAAATATCAGCACATTGGATACATGAAAACTTTCAAAGGCCATAACTTTGCACTCTGATGTCTGATTGGGGTGTTTTATTTATTTATTTTTTGATTTTGGGTAATTTTTCAAGATCTATGCATCCCAAGGGCATGAGGTGCCTTGCCCCACTATTTTCGTGAAAAAAACCTTTTTTTGGCCTCAAATTACAATTTTAATATTTTTTATAAATAAAAAATTAAAAACTAAATTTAAAAACATATATTAAATATAAAATAAAACACCTAACACATCTAGAACATATTTATACATTATTTATTCCTAAAATATATATTTATACACATATATACATACACACACATAGGGGTGAGCATTATTCGGTTAAAACTGAAAAAACTGAACCAAAAATTTTGGTTTCGATTTTTTTGGTTTTTGGTTATTTTGGTTTTGTAAAATTTCAGTTTTGATTTTGGTTTTCAAGTTTAGAAATTAGTTAACTGAAAAACCAAATTAACCAAACTTTATTATCTATAATATATATCAACATATAATACATATATAATATGTATAAAATATATTATATTGTATTTTATTATGTATTAAAATATATAATTTATCATATACATTGTATAATATATAATATATTAAAATATACACTACAATATATATTAAGGTATATATAGTGTTGAAATTTAGTTCGTATATATATATACATACATACATACATACATACATACATACATACATACATACATACTTAATACATATATATGCTGACATGGCACAGTTTGAACCAGTCAAACCGGTGACTTATGACTTGGAGGCAAAAACAGTTCAGCCTCCAAGTCGGTTTTTAAAACATTGCTTTGAATTTGGATGGAATCATTGGTTTACTCCCACCTATGAAAAGTTGTGACACCTAGGCCACAAGAACTTCTAACAAATCAGAACTTGAGAACCGACAACAACATTCTTAAAAAATCGTGTTGGTGGTAGTAATGTGATGGGTCAATCACACACACATGACACACATAGGGATGCAAACAGATCGGATTGGATTCAAATCAAGGTATATTTGAATCCAATCTGACACTGTTCATGTCAAATCCAACCCGAAGATCTTATAGAATCTGATAGGACTTGATTTGAATTCGAATCCTATCGGGTCGGATCTGATTCAATTCGACTTATTTTCTTTAAAGATTAATAAAATATTAAAAGAAAAAATAAAACATACTAATTTAAATAAAGTAAAAATAAAAAAATACAAGTATTTATTTAATTATTTTCACCATATATATACATGTTTTTTTTGTAAAAAAATAACACAACAAATTTATAAATAAATAAATAACATATATATATGTATTATATATTTATATTTATAAATATATAATATATATCAGATCGGAAAGGAGTGATCTGAATCTGATCGGATCCTATTATATGACTTGATCCGACCCAAAGATCCGAACAGGGGGTGATCCGAATTCAATCAAATAGGATCAAATCTCGGATCAAATCGGATCATGATCCAATCCATTTGCACCCCTAATTAACTAGGCCTCTTATTGTATGATAGAAAGAGAAGGGATAAAAAACTGGATCCCACTTAAGAATCAGCTTCCCACCAAGGAATCCGATCCATCACACTACTGTGTGTACTGCATGCAATTTTGGGAGCTTCCAAAGTTCTTTAACAAATGTTTTTGGTATTTGGGAGATTGAAATGCATTAATTTTTAGGGGTGCAAATGGATTGGATTATGATCCAATCCTATCTTTGTTGGATTCAGATAATCTTTTGTCAAATTTTCGGATCAAATTGAATAATGAAATCAGATTGAAAATTGGATCAAATTTGAATCACCCTTTATTCGACCCAATCTGATACACACACATATATAATAAGTATTCATTATATAAATTATAATCTTTTTTCTTTTAATAATTTATTAAAATTTTCGTTATTTGAATCGGATCGAATCAGATTTGGATATCCAACATCCTTAAAAGATTAGAATTTGAATCACCATTTTTGAGATCCGATCAAATCTTTGGATTGAATTGGATCTGGGATATGTGCTATTGGACTGGATTTGAATATACCCTAATTTGAACCCAACCCAATCTGTTTACATCCCTATTAATTTCTTTGAAAGGAAAAAGGCAAAGTATACGTGATACAGGCAAATGCACCAAGTAACAAACCATGAGGAGCCATTGCACTATCTCAAGCTGATTTTCATCACATCCGGTCTTCATAAGTGAGAAGGTGGTGATGGGACCCTTCTCCTAATGTGAGCAACCAAATCAATTTTCTTGGTATATGAGCATTGAATTAGGGCCTGTTCATTTGCTCTGAATTCTAACATTTGAAAGTGCAATAATTACATTAAGAGGTATATTGGTATTGGTGAACTTTTATTTTCTATGAATTTCAAATGCAGATTCCTCTTAAGAGATAAGAGTTAAGAGGAAACGAACAGGCCCTTAGATTATGAAGTTGAGGTAGTTACAATAAAAAAGGGGAAAATTACACTTCAGTACCCTGAACTTTGTGGGTAGCGTCAAGTTAGTATCCGAACTTTCAAATAGTGTCAAGTTGGTCCCTATCGTTAACCGACCATCGACTATCTGTTGAAGATGTCAAAACTACCCTTCAAAAGAAAACAATGTTCATTGTCTTTTACTTTGAGACTGAACCGATTGAGGTGTTTGAGATTCTAGACTAATGAAGCCATTGTTTTCTACCTTTAAATCTGAAACACATTCTTGTCTAGTTATTTCTTTGCTTTCAGTTATTGTTTCCTTATATCATATTTCATGTTTTTTCTCTCTTTTTTCTTTGAAGATAACTGATTCAGTCTCAAGGTAGAAGACAATGAACAGTACCTTCTTTTGAAGGGTAGTTTTGACATTTTTTAACAATTTTAACAAATGACTGACTGTTAGTTAACAGCAAGGACCCATTTGACACTTTGGGTAGTTTTGACATTTTCAACAAATAATTGACTGTTAATTAACTGCAGGGACCAATTTCACATTTTTTGAAAGTTTAGATATTGTAGTGACATTTGAAAGTTCGGGTACTAACTTAACACTACCCCCCAAAGTTCAGGATACTAAGTGGAATTTTCCGATGCAACGTTTCTGATATTCCAGATTCCGGGGCAAATCCTTTTTTTTCCTCACCTTGGAAATTGGAATGTACTGTACCGTGTAAATTACCCTAATTTAGGGATTTGTATCTGAAAGATATTGGCCTTGACCTTGAGAGGACAACCACAGGCACAGCTGCCCAGTGCCCAGACAAAGATGATTGGAAAAAGTAAGATAAAAGGTTTTTGGTTTGCATTAAAAATCACGGGACGGGGAGATCCATGTGCAGGTAGGGGGGGGGGGGGTCGTGAGCCCCATCCCCCAAACATTGAGATCCTGCCTTGATTTGTTTTGCTTTTGCTGAGAATGAAAATTGATGATCTATAGTCAACGATACATTTAACAATCCCGAATGGTTAATGAAGTTCACCCTCTTGGATGTACAGTACAGACTACAGAGAAAGAGATCTAAAGAGAACAGTAACATGCAATCACTCATGTACCATCAATATCATACAGGTAAGGTCAACTGCTAGTAGTTGAGAATTGGATATTCATAATCCAAGGACTTGATGAATCTAATAGAACATAATGGTGGGACAAGATTCTCGATTCTTGTAGTTGACCCCCAGTAGTTAGAATTAATGTTGAGTTGAGTTAAACAGAGGCATTGGATAGCAGTTGGATCTGAATTTGATCCGGGGCTACAAATGGATCTATTTAGAGGCTGTCTAGATTAATCAAAGTATGCCTAAGTGGATCTGGTTAACTGTGATGCATTGATGGCCCTCCTAATTACCAATTAGGGTTGCAACTTGGGCTGGATTAGCCCAGATCCAATCTGAACCCTAATACCAAAAAAGTCAGGTTGGTTTGAAAAAATATCTGAACCCTGAATATCATTCTTCCAAGCTTTTCATTTCAAAGTTTCAGAACTCTTAGTCCAAAGGGAGGAGACAATGACCCTTAAATTGAGCTGCGTATGAGACATCCCTCTTGCAAGAGGCAGGGTTTCACGCCCATGTATTGGCAGGTTATTTAGATGAGAAATGCTAGACTGGTTTACACTAGTCTAGGTTGTCTTCCTCACCCACATTCCAAGCAATGTACCAATCAGCCTCTGACTGTGACAGATTTGAAGCTTAACTGGTCTTATCTATCAACCACATAAATGTTGACTGAGGAAGCCTATTAGAAGAGCCAAGTAAAAGGATGTTCAAACATTGGACGGTCTGCAATGGCTGGTGTGAATATTATTCAACCATGATCCATGTATGTCAAAAAACTAAAGCTTAAGAACCACTCTTACTATCTACATCCAAGGAATGCTTACTGGTTACAAATATTTCTATTGTTCTTTCCTTGTTTCTACTCACTGTTTGCTGCTACTGCCAATGCCAAACAAGAATTCCTCTAAAATCTTAGAAGCTTTCATTGATTCATTCTTGCCAGATTCCATGCTTAAAGCAGTGGGACCATTGTGTCGTCTCTCCATCATTTCAGACTCATATTTCGCTGCAAATGCTAATGTGGACAAGAGTGCCTTTTGAGCAGAGTTTGGCGTGTTCTTGTTATTACCATCTACTAATGGGTTTGATTGGTATTTAGAAAGTGGACATGCTGGTACCCTCAGTAACATGTCATTGGAGCTTTCATGCTTGTTTGTTGCACTTTCAATTCCATCATCCCTTTTTGAAGGCAAGATATCTCGTTGCTGCTTACTGAAATCACTTGATGATGCCTTTCCAATTGATAGAAAGCTTATCCCTTTGGGTGTTACTGCATGTTGAGTCATCCTATGCATCACATTCAAGCTCTGGTGCTTCTCTGGTGCAACTTGGTTCTCCCAATTCCATATCTTAGCATCACCAATCCTCTTGGAAGGTGGATCACCTTCTTGATTCCTACTGGAACCATCTGATGGTGTTTTCCCAACTGATAGAAAGTGTATTCCTTCAGGTGCCAGCGCAAGTGGTTTTGGATTCCTCTCCACAATGTTTTGCTGTGTATTCCTTTGAAGGAGAGTCCTCTTGGAGGAAGGCAGCCCTAGGTTTGTTTTTCCATCCATATCCTTAAGGGAGTGATGAGAGGTACTCTTGATGTTCAGTTGCTTCTTTGAATTTGTATCAGGCGGCAGATGTGTAGGCTCTGACTGTGTTTTGTCGACTTTGGACAATGACAGAACTTCTTTTGGGGGCACCTGGGGTGAATAAAATCATTTGGCACAGTTATATTCAAAGCAATGTGAGAAAGAGTGAACTTGGTAGGTATAGAAGGTTAAGTTAAAAGAGAGACAGCAAGAGTCAATAAAATTAGATATCTTTATTTAAAAGTATCTGCAGGATAAAATATCTAATCAAAACTAGTAGCAACTTATTTAGTAGAGGAAGTACCTTGTGTGAAAACATGCATTTATCTCCTCTGATGCAAGAACCTTTGGACACGTAATTGTTACATGGATACTTGGAAAGCTCATGATCAAAAGGACACTCATCCCCTTTCAAGCATGAATTGCGTGCAAAATAACTGCATGGCTGCAATAGGCAAATGAATTAGAAATAGAGAGAAAATACTGATATAGTAACCCTTCAATGAGAATAATAACCAAGAAGCAGGCAGCAGGTTTTAAGAATGTATATTGCAGGGCATAAACAATGCAATATATAGTAAAATGTTGGAAGAAATTGTTCACCAATGAAACAGAAGAGAAGGGGGAAATTATCTTCAGCATTTGTCCATCTTCATTTTATGTTGTTCAAAACTGTTTCAGGGTATGAATCATACTAATTACAGCAGTCTTTAAATGATTAAGCATCTCTTTCCATCCTTTTTGTTTCCTTGTGGTAGTAAACAGGAAATAAAGGGAAATAAAACATGAGGCATCTCAGCCTCAACAATTATGAATCATCTTGAGATACTTTTCTGAATCAGATTATATCATGCAGACAGTATGATACCTATACCATAGTCAAAATCCAGGTAGATCACAATTTCAAAAGTGTTTTTTCACTTGAAACATGATACTCAATGTTTTTGAGATTCAACCTTCTTAAAAATGGTTTATGATTTGAGCTAATCAATATTTATCAGGTGAACCTAACAACCAAGAGATGAGAATTATCTGTCCTTTTAGGAGGAACCTGAATAGAGAACATGTTCTTTACATTCATCTAGCACAACACATCACTGCAACTCTCCAAGCAATGGATCTAGATCTTATTTTTAGTTGAAATAATTCTACCTACCAATCTCATTTTTTTTTTGATAAATTACCTACCAATCTCATTTGCACATGGATAATCACATCATGACTCCCCATGTGAGCTGGGCAGAGTTACACACTACTCCAGGTTTAAGAGTGCACTGTGCAGACATTGATTGCTCCCATTCTGTCTTCAGATCATCACTAATTGCATTCCACAAAAGAGCTATGACTTGCCTACTTGTGCCCCATATTTTTCTTTTCTTTTCTTTTCTTTTTTTCTGACCAGATGAAAGAGGATTTTTGGCACATCCCACCAGAACACTGAGTCACCCCTCAAGTCTACCTGGAAATTTTACAACTAGGTAAAATATGTACTACCATCAGATCACTTTAACTGAACACTTTCTTCAATCTTTACTGCCTCATGAATCCTAACTGATAATTTGACACCTGGGTTTACCCTTACCACTGAGTTCACAGGCAGCCAATATATGTCAAAGATTAATCAGGAAGATGAAGTCACTTATGTTCTGTCTGCAAAAGCTTAAGTTCATTAGGTAAAAATAAAGGTTGGACAATGATTTATTTTATTTTATTTATTTATTTATTTTCATTGGATAACTACTTACAGCTAATTAACCCCACTGAAAATTTATAACTTCACATACCTATTTGAAGCAAAACGAAAGCAAAGCGTATGCAAGGGTATATTCTTGCATATGAATTCAGAAATACAAAACCATGCCATGTACTTAAAATCTATGATTGCAAATCCAATCCAACAATCTATGCTGTAACATCTTAAAAACCTTTCATTAGTGATCAGAAAATAACTAAAAAACCAATGAACAAGCTCAAGTGAGTCATGAGAAATTATTGCCAAACATATTGATCAATGATTACACAAAATGATACCTTTTATCAGATGGGAACATTTAGACAAGTGACCGTACCTGCGATTTTGTTAGAGGAATTATATCATGTGAAAATCTGCAGAGATCACCCTGACAAATAAGTAGACATGTATTAGATGGCATGGAGGAAAGATTCCAAAGGAAATGGACACAATGATATGAAAAGAGCACAATGAATGCATGTCAACAAAAAAAAAATGTTTTCTGCAACCCAGTCAATTTTGATTCTGACACAGAGCAATGTTGCAAAGAACACTTGCTCAAAGTCAATTGCAGAAGAGCTCTCATGCCATGGATTATGGATGAAAGGGTGATGACATGGGACACAATGGGACAGTGTGACCACATAGGATTAAACCATATGAAGGGTCCACAATTAACCCAAGACCACTTATTGTTTTTAACCATAATAGCACCATAACCACTTCCATGTGTTCTAAGTGGGGCTCATCTACTGCCAGCCCCCACCTAGAGCATATCTAAGCCCACAGATGCCATTTGCAACATTACTCTTCAACAAAAATGTATCAGAAAGTTCCAACTAGCCAAATGCTCAGAAAAGGTTATAATAGGAGTTAAGAAGCTTATAGAGCAATATTATAAGGCTCACTGTTGGTCAAAATAATGTAGTACAATCGCAATTCTCTGGTTGCTCAACATTCTTGGATTGGTACACATAAAAATGCTGCTTTCTTATTCTTAGAAAGGCCTCTTCCAGACACTATATCTCAGTTACTGAAGGGGACCAGCAACCCATTAGGTAGAGCAAGAGGTTAGGTGAGGTTCATTGGAACTAATCCATTTGCTCAATGACATTATGCTGCCCTTGTCTTCATGCAGTAATGTTGTTAATAGATGCCGAGGGAAGAGAATGGAACTGCCAATGAGCTGGCATAGTCCAGGGATATGAGAATATTTTGTGGACCCTCCTCAACTGTCTGTAGAGCTTGTACAGATTAAGAATGGGCTGATGTACTATTTCTTTTGTTTAAATCCCAACTCGTGCTTCATTAGATGGTTTTGATTATTTCTAAAACAATGCAGTATATTTTCTGTCTCCTTGAAAGAAATTAGAAAACAAGGCTTCCTCGAGTTTATGCCTGCAGCCATTTTATGCACAGTTGGGACTGAAAGAAACAGAAGAATCTTTCAAAACAAGGCTTCTAATATAGATTGCTTGATTGCCTTTGCTTTTGGCAAGCTCATCTCTTGGGTGGCTGTGGCCAAGGGCCTTCAAGCTTCTGTTCTTTGTTCTCAGTTGAGATCCAGGGACTTCCTCGAGTTATGATGTATTGTAGGAGGTTTAGTGTGTTTGGCTCCTGACCTTGGGGGCCTTGGTTGTAATCTGTTTTTTTTTTCAGGTGTTTCTTGAATAAAATTTTACCTTGCTTTTCCCAAAAAAAAAAAGAAATTAGAAAACAAATAAACAAAACAACTAGAAAGGGACAGTCAATGAGAAACTGTAATGAGACCACAACCACCAATTTGAATGAACACATAATAACAATGGGTTGTCCTCAAATCACCACCATAAAATAACAGACCATCCATTTCTCTGAAATAACCTAAATTTTAATCAATTTAGTCTGGCACAGCCAAAATGACACACTGAGATTCAAGCAATTAAACTTTTCATATGACACTGTGATTTAGTGATTACAATGTTGAAAGAAATAAAATTTGGAAGAAATTCAACAAAGAAGGTATGAAATATCTGGTTAAGGCTGTTTGCTGTTAACAATAGCTTTATAGTTCCCACCAATCTAATCTCTCTCTCTCTCTCTCTCTCTCTCTATATATATATATATATATATATATATAACTTGTACAAATCTTTCCATTTTCCAATTCGATCCAAAGCCGACCTAAAATACTAGAAAACCGAACAACTCGGGTCGAGTTGACTGGGTTGGTTGGTTTCATCAGTTTGATGAATAAACCTAACTGAAATTAATTATTGTTATTTTTGTATTATAAAATATTTATTAAAAGTAGTATATAAAATATGAGTAATTATTAATTATTTAAAAAGATGAAAATATAAAACAATTGTATAGAGTTCACATTTGTGCCCCACAACGTCCCATAGCATATCCCCGTCGTTTATTGGGAACATCTCCTAATGATGACATCATCGATTCTGGTACTATCATCGGGAGATGCTCCCAATACACGGTGGAGATGTGTTGTGGAACATTGTGGGGCGCCCCTTTGTGGGGCACAGATGTGAACTCTACTCTTATGTGTTTCTATTAGAGTCATTTACTATAACACACCTTATAGTTTTACATATTTACTTAAACCTACCTTACAGTTTTCATTTTGCTAAAACATCCCATATATTTTACAACTTATTTAATCAACCTTTCATTAAGGAGTGTTTGTTTTGCCATTAGGCCCATGATTTTTTATTCAAAAAATACCCTTTAACACTTTTTTTGCACATAAAAGAAAATTGACCAAATATAGCCAATAGAGTGGTTGCCCGCAAGGTTCAAAGTATCGATACGTATCGGCCCATATCGGCTGATACGTATCGTGCCGATGGCTTCCCGATACGCCCTTGCAAGGGGTGTATTGGGGTTCTGACCGGTTCAGGGGGTGGAGGAGCCTTAAACTAGCCCCCCTGAACCGGTTTTGAAAAAAAGGCAAAAAAACACTATCGATATCACCCAATACGCCCCTACCGGCATATCAGGTGTATCAGTATTTTGAACCTTGGTTACCCATGTCTTATTAAGGGAAAAAATGGTAATTTAATTTTTATTTTCTTTTGATTAAATTTATTTAAGTGAGCATTAGGGTCAACACTATCATTTTCCATTGTCATCTAATGGAAGATTGATTAAATCCATTGCAAATTATAAGTGGTGTTTTAGTAAAATGCTAACTATAGGGTGGATTTTAGTAAATCCATGAAACTATAAGGGTATTTGAATAAATGACCATTTCTATTATTTAGCTTTGGCTTAATAAATCCTGTGCATCGCATGGGTCCCTGCTAGTATATATTAAAGCTAAGCCCTAAGATGGCTTCCTCATCAGACAAGTAGTCATCCCTCCTTTCAGAAAAAATTATCTATTCTGAGAGCAATTTTAATGGATTGGTAGTTACCACCACTTCAGAAAAACTAGGAGTAGTTACTTCCACTCTCAAGAAGTACTCACTTCAAATGGTGTGAGGCCCATATCAATAATGACCATCCTTTCTAATTGAACTTTATTATAATATAAATCCGAGTGGTGTAGGAACCAACTAATTGAAATTTCACTCAAGTTGAAGTAAATTTTTAAACATATACTCCTCCCAAGACCCCAAATAACTGGGACCAACATTGGATAATAGGTATCCTAACTCGAATAAAAGACCCAACACAAAAGCTTTCAGTTTTAACAAAAAAAGGGCTTTGAATACCTGGTGTGAGCTAGATAAAGTGGGATGTTATTTACAAATAAAACCTGGTTTAATCTCTTAAATCAAATAAAAAAAACCTAACCTAAATTTACCATATGGATAATGGGTGCCAGACAAAAAATATGTCAGAATAGTTGCTCTGTACTAAGTATGTGGTGGTCATTATCTATTATCTATGTAGAACAGATAACAGAGTAGGATTTGTGCCTAGTGCACCCTAGAGAAAAGATATATAGGGTGTTATACCTCCTATTAGGGGTGATCATAGACTGGACCAGTCCATGCTTAGCACCTATGATAAGGGTCATAGCTTTGGCCTGGTCTGCACTGTACCCCAGGCCCAGGCTTCCGACCTACAACCTTAAACACAATCTATATTTGACAACAGGAACATATTGTATTCATTTTCATTACAAGATGAAATCCATAATGTCCAAAAAATACAGCAGGGGCACTAAAAAACAGCAATTAGCCAACCACACGCAAAGAAGACACCTTAAGCAAGCAAATTACAATCAATCCCAAGTTCCAGCATATAAAGTGTGAGAGACTCCTATGTGGGGTGCTGCTTTCTTGGGTCTATGACAGCGGACTTTGAAATTAGATGGTCAAATCCAATGACACTCCCGAATTTAAATCTTTCATCTTTGATACATGTGAGCAACTGTTATTTCCATGAGAAATGATCATCTTAACTCACTAAAATGATAATTGTTTCATCCAGAAGCCTTGTCTTCTCACATTCCGATAATTCAAAATTCACAAAGCTCCCAACCAAAACATGAGCTTAACAATAGAGAAGGAACTTTATATATTCTTTCACAGATTTAAGCTCTAATATATGAGATAAACTGTATCAATGCGTTTATGTAATTAGAATACACAGAACTGCTATAGTTATTGGCATCAATTGCAATCTCTGACTGCTGCTAAAAATCAGGACAAAATGTGTATCTAATTTCCAAAATAATAGATTTTGGGGCATGGTACAACCTTCTGGCATCTTCCCTTTAAGTAGTGATTGCAATACTTGACAGTTTTTGGTTTCGAAATTGGCTGTATTTTCAACCTCTTAATCCCAAGAAGCTTGTTCTTTTCTGCACGTTTCTTTCTACTTCGAAGCTGCAAAACCAGATCACAGTGAATATATTAGATTTCCCATCATGTGCCAAACACTTGTCAATTCAGTGATTTGTTAAATCTATTGGCAACAAAATGTGAGGAATCTCATACTTAGCTTCCAAAGCTCCACACTCTAACAAAGGCAATACCTTTTTCTTTGCTTTCTTTTCCTGAGTCAAAGGACTTCGCTTTCTCTTTTTGTCAGTTTTAACATCCTGTGCCCAATGAACAACACCAAGCTACTCTGGTTAAACAGGGCAAGAAAATCAGACCAAAAATAACACAGACAAGATGACCAATAAATAATAAAGTTTTCAATATAATTTGATTTTCCTTCTAATGCTGTCAAGTGTATGTATATTCAAGTGGATGCAACTATGGTTAGGCCCAGAGTATGTTTGATTTTTCCTTATGGTGGATGCATCTATAATTAGGTCCAGAGTATGTTTGGCACAAAAGGGCAAAAATTCTAGGATTGGCAGAAAACTTCAACACTTAAGGAATCTAGGGTTTTAGGTGGGATTTAGGTGCAATATTTGGAAGGATGACAGGATGTAAGAATATATAGGGGGAGACCAAATATGGGATGGATTAGAGATGGTTTGTCATAAAAAGACAAAAAAGCCAGAATGAGAAATTTTCAAGTTTTGATGGAATTTAAAGAAAAACTTACCTAATTGTAGTCCTTTGAGAATGTGGAATGAATATCTTTTAATGAAAAACTTATGGCTGTTGATGGTAGTAATGGCTTCTTGAAGGATTAAAAGGAAAATAGAGAGTCAAAGGAGATAATTTTTTTTACTATATAATGTAATACCATACTGTACAGTTTCTCAATGTACAGGGGTGCCTTTCGTATTTTTTGATTATATATTGCAATACCATACTTTACAGTTTCCAAAAAGAAAAAAAAAGAAGAGAGAAAAAATTTGAGATCACTAAACAGGGTTTTTAGACTCACTCTAGGGCATAGGAATCACCTACCACAGATAGCATAACCTGTAAAATCTCAAATCAATTTCATTCATTCATCATATCCACATTTTTGCACTTCAGACATGTATATAGGGGGTGCACAGTCCTACTAGAACTAGGAAAGCCAAAATTTATAGACTTGCCAGTTGCCACTATCATAAGAAAATTAAATAACTCCTAAAATACTTAACCAATGAGTCTGAGATTTTAAATACAACTAAAATATGACTAGGCAAATCAAACCACTAGGCTGTACACCCCTAAATATAAAACAACCAAAATATCCCTGCTATCTAAAAATACCAAAACACGTACAATTTCAGAAAAATCCATATTTGGCTCCTTATTCAGGGTATCTTCCATTCCTAATTTCTAAACCTTTTTCTTATGCATGGTCTTATCAAAGCTGCATTTAATGTACTTTATCCTCGTACTACTTATTTTAAGTGCTGGATTCCTAAAACATCCCTTCATGGATCTAGCTTTACTTGATTCTTCTATTAGCTCAAAATAGGATTCATATGTAATATAGTAATTACTTTGGAGTTAGACAAGAGAAGATGACCAATGCTATTTTTACATAAAGCATCAGAGACTCACAATCTGATAAACAACTAAGTAAACATTTAAGTGAACAGAGTAGAATGAGAGGTAAAGTGAACACAGAGGGAAGATGCAAAAGTCGCAAATTTGAAAACTCTTACAAAATCAAGAGAGTTTCAAGAAAGCCTATTATAATGCATACAAGTTGAAAATGGACATGTGGACCAAAATATAAAGGCATTTATAGATGAATCGATGTTATCCTCTATTTGTTAGAATGCACCAAAAACCATACTCTTAAAATTTAATGAATGGAGTTATGAAGATTTTAGGTTCAACTCACAAATCCAGACCATGAAAGTGAATTCACCCAATATGACAGAACTAGCTAATAAGGTACACATCAACATTGAAAGCTGAACCACTGTAGTCGAAGTAGCAGAGAAGAGAAGAGGAGAAGAAGAAGAGATGCTGAAAATGTCGAACTGTACTAGCCAGTCGACCAGTTCTTTATTTA